TACTGCGGGAAGGACTGCCAAAAGGAGCATTGGACTGAGCATAAAGTCTACTGCAAAAGCCCGCTGATGAAGACCAGCTGGATGCCGGCCTGGGAAACAGAACAACGCCTTCCATCATTCGTGGGCGCCGGGGCTCCTATGGTCCCATATGGCCCCTTGAAGAAATACTTCTGGGGCAATATGCCCGCACTCGATGTCTTAGCCCTGGACCGCAATGAGGGATGCTCTTATGGTCACGACTTGCATGTGTTGTTCGCGGGTGAGGCCTATTCATTGTATTGTGCCACTAGCAGTGCTAACTAAGTTGTGTTTCTAGCTTCTGGAGACATCCGCAATGTGTTGAAGACTGTTGCTTGTCTGCCTGATGAGTATCAACAGTCTATCTCCCTGACTCTGAACGACCGGGACTTTGATATTGTCGCACGGAACCTGATCATACTCCTCGCTGCGTTGCAGATCGACAAAGACCCCGACGATATCGAAACTATCATCCACATTTGGTACTCGGCGAAACTCCAGTCTTGTCGCCTATGTCAGCTGCAATCCTCGATTCTTCCACTATTTCAAAAGGTTTGTGCAAAGATTAAGGACAAACCGAACGGCACACTCTTGGGAAAGACGTGGACTTTCGGATCTAGATCTCTCCGCGTGACTTTGTCCAAGGAGAAATGGATGCTCCTCCCCTCTTTTCTAGAGGTTCCCGACGGCTTGTCTTGCAGCCTGGCCGACAAAATTCGACAAGCCACAACGCTTGCGCATGAGCGGCGAGACTACCGGGACCGGAATATCCTCTTACAGAAACCTCCTCATCGCGTGTGCAAGCAGAGATTCCGCGAAGATGGAATTCTATTGTCCTTTGCCCAAACTCGCCAAGCATTCGACGCTCCGAATCCGTGAGGCGCCCTTTGAAATAATAATCCTATAACATTGGCCTAATTTGTCACAGTACTTTTTACCAGAACAAAGAGCAATGGCCAATGAAGGACTCGGCAGACCCTTTTGATGGATGGGATCTCCGTTCTGTCCTCCAAAGCCCCTATGGATCCGCCGCCAACGACATGTATGGCAAACTGTTTGACCATCTAAGAGATCTTCTGTCCTCATTCGCCAGACAAGCCGCGTCGCGAAAGATAGCGTTCGAGCTCTTCAACGTGGACGTGACAGACCTCTCGAGACATCTTGATGGTCGACAGTTTGCACGTATTGAGGTGATGGCCGTAAGAATGTGCCGTGAGATAACAGCGCTGATCAATTCTACAGGTCTCTAACATTTCGGATGGCGGTTACCTTGGAGTAGGTCGCACACTCTACCTGCTCAGTCCATTCTTACAAAAGCACATTAATAATTCTCACGCGACAATAATAACGCTTTTCATGAATGCCGTAGCCGAAACGGTCCATCTGAGCCCTGCAAAGCGTCCCGAGATAGAATCTCTCGTGTTGAAAGTGTCGCAGTATCTTCCGGCCACACGTCCGCCACTCTCGGAAAATGACCCTGATTTGATCCGACGACTCGCTGCTAACGACCTCGTTCGTGACAATGACAAATACTTCAAGATGTCCGCGCGTCCAAGTTCCCTAATGCAGAAGAAGCATGCTGACCATTTGTAGATATATGAGAGAAGAGCACTTCGGAGAGATAGGTCGCCATTTGGGCTTGACAATGGAACGACCACACACAATCATCGAGGAGTGGCCCATGAGGCTCAAGTCGCCGCCGGAGCAGGTCGGAGCGAAAGAAGAGTTTGAGATTCTGCTTGCCTCGTCCCATAGTGGAGCTGAGCGCTACGTGGAGTGGAAGTGGGCATGATGTACTGGTCAAACAATTTCTCTGCGTCTGGTATCCAGGATGCTGGCACTTCAAAGACGCAGCATTCTTGGGCTGTCTATCGCTCAAGGTAGAAGCTGCGGAGAGATCAAAGTGCTTGCTAATTCGAGTTGTGGCGGCGGTGAGACGAGTTTTTCGATAATGCGATTGAGATGGGTCTCAAGCCTGATTGGATTGCGAACGGCAGCACCAAAGCGCGTGTCGCTAACATGGCGTAGGATGTGATGGGCAGGAAGGAAGGGTCACAAACAAACATCGGAAGGGAGCGGAAGAAGGCACTCAAAGGTGTTTCTGGATCCTACAGGACTTGGTGAATAGGATTTCCTCACGGCGACACGAGAGCCTCGGCGCTGGCGAAGGATCGATTGCAGTCCCCAATAGTCAAAACAGAGAGCATGCGTAGAGCTGTATCGCTGTCGAGAGTTCGATCATATCGGATGGCAACAGGAACGAACTCATTGGATCAAGAATTGTCACGCGTCTGACTTACTACCTTGTATGGAACTTTTACGAAGCACAAAAGCAAACTGTAAGAGCAGAGTGAAATGACATGGCGCAGACGTGCGTGCAAATTACGATACTCGGCCTTCCAGAGTTACAGAGAGATCTATTGGGTAGATGGCGAAGTTTGAGTATTTCCAATACGGGGTAAGCGTGGGCTTATCGTGGAGCCACACGATCTTCCTTTTAGAGTTATTCTTTGTGCGTAATTACATGGTATTTCATCACGGTACAAGTACCAGATCAAACAGAGCAGATCTTCTTCGGTAAGCACTAGATCCCTCTTACGTGAACTTCTCAGCCCTGAGTTCCTGGCCCCTATTGACGCCTAAATTCTTAGAGAGGGTACTCGGTACCTCGTCCACTGTTCATCATTGTCATCTGGGGGCCAACCACTGCTCTCGATCGTCCCTACAAGTACCTCGTACCTCCTCCCCCCCAACCTTTGGCAAGACCTCATCTGGACCTACCACGACTCAACATATTCATTACCAAGAGACAAAAGAAAAAGAATGCCTGCCACCAAGCGACCGTCGCTCTTCACTCGCCTGTCGGCCTCGGCCTTCGCTGCCTCTTCCACCACCACCACCACCATCGCTACCGACACTGCTTCGATCAAATCCACAACGTCCGCTTCCTCAATACAGCCCTTACTTTCAAAGGCGCGGCGGAAAGTCACTTCGTCGCGTGGTGGCAAGGACGACAAAGTGTTCAACTTCAACATGAGTTACCCGTATAGCACCTCGAACGCCGCCGCCGCCGCCATCACTGAAAATAGCTGAACGATTTGAACCAGCTCGTTCAGTATGTAAGGACTGGAGTGGGCCGTTGGGGAGGGGGAGGGAAGGACAACTCCAGGCTTTGACCCTGTTACATTTGGCCCCAATCGACAGCTGAAGGAACGGAAATCGTTTCAACCATCGAGAAAATCACGCTCCTCGGAATACTCAGTACGGTACACAGCAGAATGACCCAACTTGTCCTCTCGTCGAACTTGCCTGACTGCTGTCACGCTGTGCACCCTCACGGCACTTCTGGACCTTGATTCTTAGGTCCCCCTCACACCCCGCAATTTCCCCAGATGCAGATGCCAAATCTTCGTGGGCTCTGCTTATTTCTCCCGCCTAGGCGTCTTCATTGGATTCGGTTACAAATCTCGGCGACTTCGGGGAGATCGCTGTCGCTGGGCGCCTGGTCTGATTGTACTCGTTGTGAAATCATATCGGGCCACCAGGGCTATTCAAAGAGGTACTCGGTACACGGCGCAGGCTTCTAAGTGCGGCTTCAAGCTTTACCAGAATAAGAATTCAAAACGTTGGGCGTGTCTCAGCCCTCTATGGGTCGCAGCACGGATATGGCGGCTGGAGGGCTCAGCAAGCGCTTCAAGGGAACCAATGCTACTAAATTTGTACACATGCAGGACTGTATTTTGGAACCCTCTCAAAGGGGCGAATACATCAAGTAGCGAGTCTGGAAGTCTCTGACTAAAACCTGTCCTCGCCTCAGCTGCTTAATATTACTCGTGGACTCCGGCTAAGATGAAGACGCGTTCTGTTCCGGTACTTCGTACGGAGTAGTTGCTTGTGCACCCGCTCGCAGGGGCAAAGGATGTACCTACCTAGCTAGGCACGACGATGTCTTGTAGGGATTTGCAAGTCCTTGGTCCAACTGGCCACACTATTTCCACCCGCCCACTCATTCCAAATTGAACTTTCCTTCTTCCCCGTCACCAGCGGCTTCACCCCCGGCGACTAGCAAGGGTTGAATCCACACCACCACCAACCTCCTACCAGTATTCGATCGACTGCTGTGCCCGGTCTTGAACCGTCTCAGCACGCCATTCCACCACACTGTTCGTGGTTTCCTTAATTTATCTCGATGTTCATACCAAGAGGACCGTCTACAACCCACGATTCAGTATCTCGTACTGGTATGCTGGTGCCTGTGAACGTGGGCTGCTCGACTATCGGCCCAGTTCTGGGAGATCACGATAAATGCCACTTATTCGATACCTCGACACACGTGAAGGCAGCATGTCGCTTTCATGGTGATGTTCTAGAATGGCGTGCATGTCCTTTTTCACTCGACTTGGGCAGCAAGTCTAGAAAGAAATGAAATCTCTCTCCAGCAACAATGATCCATGAGACACTGATGATTGATCTAGGCGGTGTTCCTCAATTTCTCGTCCCACTTGGGTGCCACCTTCTGCCAGTTCAAATATTCTCTCCTTTATCAACCGTTTCTTGTCAGTATCGCATGCACCTTTGGCGCCAGCCACCCTGGCCTGGCGCACTCGTCGTCGCTAAACAGATCAGATGTAAAACCCTGCCCTGCCGCCTCATAGTCTCATTTGCGGGAAAGGGGTAGAGACATGATTGGCCTTGCTTTATCGATGGGTCATGACTACTGCAACGCTACGGCGCCTCTTCTTTCTTCTGTCGCGAGACTTGTTGAGACTTTTGTTGCACAAGTGCTTGGTACAGACCTTCTGGGCCGGATATGCACGAGGGCTTCTGTGGCCCCCAGATCACTATTTGATGATAGCAGCAGTACTGCCCTCCTGTTGAAGATGTTTCCACCTTTCAAACACTGCATTCGTTCCCTAGCTGGGTATTTGCGTGACAGATAATTAATTCTTCATTTCAGGTTCCCAGGTGGAAACCCTTCTAGCATGGCAGACATGCGACGCTTGCCATCAGTCGCCCTTCGACTCCTTGCCATTTTTTCAGCCTTGCTCTACCTTACATCTGCCGATGAATTCACCAACCCTGCAAGTGGCACCACCGATCTCTCCATCCATTACACAGTGGGAGACAAAGTTGTCATTACCTGGGACTCCTCGTTGGAAGCAATAACTCTGCTTGTTTCGCATTGGAATGGTGGCGACGTGGGAGCACTATTATGTCAGTTTTCAAGCTCGGTGAATGGAAGTGTTTGTTCGGCTGGTCTCCAGCCAAAGCCTTGAGGTTTGCTAACACTTCTCCATCGCTACAGCCAATGTTCAGAATACGGGGTCCTACACGTGGACAATAGGAAAGGACGACAACATCGACGATGCCGCCATCGAATCAAGCCCGAATTTTGTTCTTCTCATCAGAGATCCGACTGGCGCCGACAACTCAGGTATATCGGGCTGGGTTGATGGACAGCTCTCGAGCCCGGGGTTTATAATCCAGTCCAACAACGTGGTGTCATCCTCCTCGGAATCCTCTTCATCCTCGAGCACCTCGACCTCGACCTCGACCTCAACTGCGACGTCGACCTCTTCCACAACGTCTTCCGTGTCCTCGATAACCTCGTCTCCCTCCGCCGTCACGACTCCGCCATCCTCCCCATCCCTCACAGACGCTGGTGGTGCCTCGATAACATCAGCCGCGCCAGTCCCGGTAAAAGCAGATTCAAGCGGACTCAGCACGGGCGCCAAAGTAGGCATTGGAGTCGCTGCCGCTGTGGGAGGACTACTGCTCATGGGGCTGGGCATATTCTTGGGTCTGAGGTGGGCGCGCAAGACCAAAACAAGACGGCACCCCGATCGGTCCCACGTCGACGACGGCATGGTCCCCACATCCGGCCCATACTATCCGCCGCCCGCGCCACCACAAATGGGGTCTCTGAGCAAAACATCAGGATATGGCTTTCAGCCTGTGAGTGAGCTGCCGACAACAGGACCATACTCGCAGGGGAATAGGCCGATTCACGAGCTGGGTGGTGCTTGACAAGATCAAGGGGAGGGTTTGGGACAGGGCTCGATGGGGACAACGAGGAACTACGAAACTACTGGTACGGCCACAATACCCAGCCCGATTTGACTTTTGAAGGGGGAAGGGGAGGTTGTTTGGCTATATGTAATGATATATCCCTTTTGATTTCAGTTGAAAGATTACACGCCCAGTTGATATTGGACAAAAAACCTCGTTATTCATGATCATAGTCGTCGTCATCGTCATCCGTGTACCTAGTATGTTACGTATGTGCTCGAGAAATTCTGTCATATCCCACGACTTATGGGTATTTTGTCGCATAGAAGGCCCCTCATATCCAACTATCTAGCTAGCTAGCCTGACTATCTTATTTGGAAAGACCCCCTGTTATTTAATTCCCCCAGAACATATGTATGATGTGATATGTAGATATCCCCCGGCTCTGAAATTGGTGGTATATGTATAACAATCCAACAAAGGCAAATAAATACATACATACACCAATGCATCAAAGGGTAAAAAAAATGATCATGTCCATAGATAGAGTAGATAGGTTGTGTGATGAAAAATACTGACCGATTGTCCGTCACATTCCATATACCAGCGCCCGCTCCGCCCGCTCGGGTTTTTAATCGTCTTTTTCAAAGGTGTGTGATGATGCATGGGTAAGGCAACCCCCAGGGGAGCCGCCTCGGTCATTCAGGTTTGCCAGGCGTCGTCCAGTTTCACACCGTGCTCGTCCAGTCTGCACTCTGAGGTGCCCCATTTCATTCTGTACATGTCTCTGCCCTTCTCTGCCGTGGCCCACCACATCTTCTGGAACCCGTCCGGGTCGTACGTCCATGGCTCGCCCTTACCGCCTTCGCCGAGGGCAGCCTGCCAGTTGTTGCGTTGGTTTTCGGGTTTGCGCCGCTCGAGTTTCTCCAGCTCCGCCACGAGGAGGTGGTAGCGACGTGAACCTGGCGCCTCGCCTTCAGGAGCAGAGTCGTCGGCCGCTTTTGATGACGATGACGACGACGTAGGTGGGAAAAACTTGGCTTCAGGGTCCTGGAGGGCCTCAGGGAGGTCGAAGATGCGGCCTGTTCGCACGTCGTCCTTGGTGAAGCCGTTCAACACGATGCGCGAGTATGCGTCGCAGTCGGTCGCGTAGTATGGGATGAAGGTATCCCAAGCGCCAATCTTCCGCCATGCCTCGACGTTGACCAGCGTTAGCCAGTCATAGGTGAAGTATTTGATTGCCCAGTTTTTCTCGCCGTTTCTCGGGGTGCCCATATCAGTGTCGAGGGCCGTGACTCCGAGGTCGGAGAGGACATCGAGCACACGAGCATGAAAGGACTTGTAAGGCTTTGCCTCCTCGTCGCTGAGCACGGCGACGTCCATGTGTGACCAGAAAAAGTAGCGCCACCCATGGGCCATGCTTACTCTCAGGAAGAAGTTTTGCAGCTGAGCGAACGTCAAGAGCGTCGGAGTCTGCAAAATCGAGACTCCATATCGATTGCGAAACAAGTCGTAGTCCAGGTAAAATGGATTTTTGGGAGTCAGGAGATGGCGGGGATTGGAGTCCATGGTGCCTGCGTTGTCGACCACAATGATGTCCTCTCGGGGCCATCCAGCTGCAATGTAGCTCAGGACCACTTGCTGGAGCATGGCGTTGTTGCGAGTAAAGGCAATGAAGAGCGGTGTTCGAGGCCGCTGCGAGGATGCTAGCGGTGCATTGTACGAGGCGACTGTGGGACGGAACTCCCGTTCATCATGGAGAGGTGGAAACCATAGTTTTGTGGAGTCTTCCTCCGAGCCAAGTAGATAGGACACCGAAGACGAAGGTGATGGACCAGATGAGATAGATGGCACAGACGGCGAACCATTAGTCTGTTGTGAGCCTGTATATGATATCGGAGGACCATTCCCGAGGAAGAGGTAAATTGTTGTCAAGAGCGTAAATGTCACAATCAGAAAGGAGACCCAGCGCTTAGGGAGGCGCCAGCCTGACGCTGTGCGTGGACTCGATGTTGACGACTCGTCGCGATTTAATAGTCCATTCAAAGGGATATAACGAGCGGTCATACTGTTGCATGGGTGATGTGACCCCAAGGTCCAGATTTATAGAAGGCAATGCCGATGAGAGAAAATCAGAAGACAAAATGAAACGAGTTGAAAGAAATGAGTGAAGTTGAAGTTGGGGCGGATGCATGCATGTTGCGTCTGGAAAGGGACTAGCCCAACCAACCATCGCTTCACACAGTTACTCGCCACTCAACCACTTAGGTTCTTTAGGCTCTTTAGGCGATAGATCCAGCCATGGAAATAACCGAGACATCCACTCACAGCACTGGTTTCATTGGAAAAGCCACCAGAAAACTATCTGATGCGTGGCTGTTGCGGTGGTCGACACGACTGAGCTATTTCTATCTCTGCATTTTGTTTCAGACCAGCTTGGTAACCAACTTGCCCGTGTTACCGCCGTCAAACAACTTCAGCCACGTCTTGGGCACGTCCTCGAATTTGGTGTCGACGACCTGCTCGCTCTCCTCGTTGGTGATCTTCAACTTGCCTTCCTTGATGGACTGCACGAAGAGTTCAATCGTCTCCTGCGCCTTGGGGAGGTAGTCGAGCACGATGAACCCGCGGATCGAGAGGCGCATGGTTATCACTTGGAAGTAGTCTGGAGGAGGGAGGACAGGGTTAGATAAACACCTTTTTGAAGAGGAGAGCGGAATGGAAGTTGGATAGACATACTTTTCAGCACAGTTGGCTCGGTGGAATTGTAGCCTGAGATGGAGCCGCACGCGACAGCCACGCCGTGCCGCTTCAGCCTTCCGAGCATGAGGTCGAGAATATGGCCCTGGAATGAGACAGAGTGTCGTTAGCATAAAACTCACCCCTGCCACAAGCTGGGTCTCTCCTCAGGTGGACAGGTGGGTGGGAGTTACTCACGCCGACATTGTCGAAATAGATATCCACGAATCCTTCTGTCGCCTTGTGCAGATCTTCTTCAAAGGTTGGGCTCTTGTAGTTGATGCACTTGTCCGCGCCGAGGCTTTCTACCCAGCGACATTTCTCGTCCGAGCCGGCAATGCCAATGACTTCTGAACAGCCGACGATCTAGAAGGCAAAAGCCCAGGTGGTCAACTCGGGAACAGAGCACACTGGAACAGAAGAGCTCCGATGGGGCCTTACATTCTTTGCAATCTGCACCACCATATTGCCCGTTGCCCCCGCTGCTCCAGAGACCACCACTCTCCTGTAATGTCCGTCAGAAGCTAAGCAAACAGAGACTCTCCAAGACGCGCGAAAAGAGGTGCAGGATGTCGCGGACACACTTACATCCCTTTCTTCGCTTCCCCAACCACCACCAGGCCATAATAGGCCGTCAACCCCGGTCCGCCGAATGCGCCCAGGTAATGCGTGATGCTCAAGCCTCCGGGCAGCGGCTGTCGAGGACTGCACTCGGCAGCATCCACGACTGCATACTCGGTCCATCCCGGAGCCACCGCCACGATAGTCCCTCTCGAAAGATTCTCAGCAGTCGAGGCAATGACTTCGGCCAACCCACGAGCCTGCATGGGTGCCCCAATCTCAACGGGTGGGGCGTAATGGCGCTCTGCCTTGATGGCGCCATCAATGGAGGGGCGTTGCGCCGGGTCGTTGGAGAAAAAGAGCATCTTGACCAAGGCTTGGTTTGGTTTCAAGGGAGGCAGCGGTTGCTCAACTAGCTTGAAGGTTGGGTTCGCATCGCTGCTGGAAAAGGTCGGAAGACCTTTGGGACGATTGGCCAGGATCCAAGTGCGGGTAGATGTAGGAGTCGACGCCATACTGTCAGGTTCGTCGTGTCGAGCGGTTTAACGAGATGTCAATGTGCGTAACCCCCCACTAAAGAAGTAGTTGAGCAGTGTGTTATAGACAGCTCGGCTATCTGCTGGTTAATGCTCCTCTCAATTTCGTACGGCTGAAGATCATCCGACGGACAAATGAATGACTCCGATGAAGTGCTGTGAAGCATCTGACCAGAAGAAGAGACAGTAACGAGAAGTGAGTTTGTCTACCTCAATACTAAATGTTTTTCAATGGCCAGACCAAGACACCACTGACACGTTCCAGCATGACGTGCCACTTTCTCTAGCCATGGAGGGGCAGGAGTCAAAGGGAAACATGGTGCCTGAACTGGGTTAAAACCGAGGTACATAATTAACATGAAGAGGTACCCGGATCTTCATGATTGGCGGAAGGTTCTTTCATCTCCGCAACCCGCTCACCCGCTTCGTCGAGGACATGCGACCAAGTCGCGTCGATGGGATTGTATCTTCATATTTGTCAGCATTTCTATAGTGATATGACATCTATGTACTGTCTTGCATCGGCGCCCGAGAGCTTCGGGATATGACCGATCATCTGTTCGTGAGCTTATAAAACAGCTGCACAACTTCCCATCCCACCGGATTCAATATCGGATATGGGTAGGGATCATTACACCCGCTGCCAGAGAGGAACGTACTCTACCAGTCCGATGGACGCGCAGACACCGTATGATCAGGAATCATGTTTGTCAGCTCCACCCCCTTTTTGGCCGGGATTCAGGCATTGTAATGTCACTCAGCACGCGCGGTGTCCGGGAGATAAGCAGGAGAGACTCGCATTTGTCCATGCTCTTCACGCGCAGAATCTCGACTGGCTGGACCGCAGAGGGGACTCGATTCAAGTCCTTGCGCAGCATGAACAGATGTAGGTCCAGAAGACTGGCCACCAATAATTCTTCAGCAGACCAGGGTGTGCTCACATGTTTCACCCATAGAGTCCGTCCCATTCCTCTTCTTCATCGTCAGGTGCAGCATTCTTTTTGATCTCTTCCAGATGTTTCTTCTTTCGATCTCTTTCCCTTTGCGCCAGGTCAACCCGGTCCAAAGGACATGTCCCGTTCACCAACAGCCACGGACGAATGCACTCAAGATCAAAGATATGACTTTGATGGCAGGGAAGGCGCACCAGCAGCGGATGAGGATCTTCGACAAAAGCGTTAC